CCTCCCATTCCTGTTCTACACTTACCCATTCTGTCTCTCACACACTCACACACAAACTTGTGGTTACTTTATCAGTTTCACGTATATTCTTCCAGAGTTTCTTTACTTAAATAATAAGTGAATCAAATGTATGTGTATTTGAAAAATATTCTTATTTTTCCCTTTTTATTGTATTCAAAAGGTAGCATACCATACACACTGTGTTACACCAGGCTCTTTCATTTAACAATCTATCTTGGAGATCTTTTCATTCAATACACGGGGAGCCTCCATGCAAAACAGCCCAGGGTCAGGACAGCCAGGAGTCCAACGGATGAGAGCAGTTATCGGCCTTGGTTCTCAGGAGCCAGAGCAGCGCTCACCCAGGTGTCAGAACAGCAGCCTGGTCCCCATACTGGCTCCACACCGCTCAGAAACTGTCTCAGCTTCGGACAGGGCCCTGCCCAGAGAACCAGCCAACGCAGCGGATGCAACAGCCTCAGCCTCCACACGACAAAGCGGCCGGGAGAGCAGACGGGACCTGTCCAAAGTCAGACAAGGGTCCGGGCAGAAGTGGAGGCTGCTGGTCTCCTGCCTTCCAGCCCCAAATTCCCTCCACTGTACCACTTGCGTCATGAACTTCAAGGACTTGTTGCTATCTGCAGAGTCCATTTCACATTCCTGTGTCTAGCACTGGTCCCAGCTGAGAAGGAAGCAGGCTGTGACGTGGGGGGGAGAGCGAGAGCACCAGCAGCAGAGTCGGGAGATCTGGGTTCTGGTCCTGAGCCCTCTTTGGGCCGTGTCCTCATCTGTGAAATCAGAGGCTGGAACCAAACGCTCACTACAGTCTCTCCCACGGCCTCCAGTCCTGACCTCCACCTCCTGACCATACTGCAGAGCAGTCTGACAGCTATGCCAGTGCTCATGCTATTAGTCCACCTAGAATGTTTCTTTTGTTTCTCTTCTTCCACATCTTTCAAGGCCCGCCTTGACTTTTCCTGGTATCTCCTCTTCAGAAAACACTGCTTGTGAACCAGCTCACACTCCCTCTCAGCACAGGAACCTGCTCTGCCCTTGACCTGGATCACTCCTTCCCAAGAGCCACACCAACAGGTGTCTCAGTCCATTCAGCTCAGTGTCCACTCAACTTATGAAGACGTGTCCCCAACCTTCTCATCCAAAACAGCACTTCCTGCCGTCTCCTCCTCATCTCACTGCTCTGCAGAGCTCTTATCACGCAGTCATGTTTCGTCTATCTCACCCCACTGGAACGCAAGCTCCTTTAAAGCAGGGATGTGTCTTTTTTTTTTTTTTAACTTAGAACAGCACCTGACGCATAATAAGCACTCAGTAAATATTCACTGAAGGAAAGAAATACGATAATTTGTAACAATTAAGCAGCAGCAAGGCCAAACTACAGAGACTCCACTTCTAATAGTGAGGCGTTTCTCACCTTCAGTGGCTTGTTCTGTAAGAAAGCTCTGCATGGAGTCCCAAACAGGGGGAAAAATAAGTCAGGGAGGCAGCAAATGGGTCTGGGAGATAATGCAGCCAGGCACACAGCGAGGGACCTTCCTAGAGTCAGCCAGACCAGTTCTAGTGCTAAACTCTGCTACTGGACAACCTTAACCACGTCCTTAACCTCTATAAATCAGACAACAACCCACCTCAGGCAGACAATGAAGGTCAGGGAAAATGAGTATGTGGGAGCACCTCGTCAGGCACAGGGCATCAGACCCCACAGGTCGAGTGTTACCAGAGGCCAGAAGTAGGCTCAGACTGTCCATATGGGAACACCTTTATTTAAAGACAGACTGTCACATACAAGTGTCCATTCTTAAAAAATACGTGCACATACACGAATGTTTGTCCACTTATACGTATACATATTTTGGAAGAAAAGCACAAGTCTAAGACACACACACTGAAAATGAACCTGACTTACTAGAAAACTCTGACCTGAATCCTGCCACAGATTCCACTCTGTAACGTGAACCCTTTTTGCCAGGACTTGAGACAAACAGTCCACTGACGACTATGAAATGGAACCAGTCTCTCGCAGGATACTACGAGCCTCCTGGACACGTCAGGTCGTCTGTGGCTCCACCCACTGGTTCTGTGCTGGTTAATGAAAGGAAACCACTCAGCCACCTCTCTAAGGCACATCTCTGACAACAACCCCCAGAACAAGTTAGCACTACTTGTTGCATTTGGTGGATAAGAAAACCAAGCCCTCTCTCCTCTGAAAAACCAATCTTGATATTTAACCCACACCAATTTCTTCCAAACCTGAACACTTACAGGACTGACTGACGGGCATGCACTTTGGCGCTAGGTCTCATACCATCTCTGTAGCATGCCAAATGCCTTCCTTGTGTGGCAAGCACTATGTCATATTTCTCATATATTCCCAAGAGAACTTAGCACAGGGCTTTCTTAGCACAAGGAAGATGCTAAGAAATACTAATCAGAACTGAACGTAAAATGGAATTGTAGTGACTTGTCTCATAAGCTTACAAGGAATTTAGCAACAGCATCAAAGTTAGAATTCTCACTTTCTAAGTTTCCAATTTAATTCATAACCTACCAAAACAACACAGATTATTCATATCACTCATATTTTAATTTTGTTTGTAGGCAAAGGTCCATGAGGCATCCACCCCCAACAAGGAGACAGAACTGACCCACTTCCATTTTACAACCCACACTGCCCCCAAAACACTTCTCCCACAGAACCTATAACAGTTTATTGTTCTGATGCTGACAAGTCTGCTCCCCAAGACGACTGTATGGTCCTCAAAGGCAAGAATACCACCTAAGTCATCTTCTTTTTTCTTATCACCCGAGCCTAGCACTGTGAGACACACAACAGCACTTCATAACCATTTGAGAATGTTAGAGGGATAGCATGTTAAGGAGACAATGTTAAGAAAAAGAGCACGAGAGGGTAAGACTGCTAGCCAGTGTGCCCATCTATTCCCCAATAAATGTTTCTTAAGAACCACACTTAATAAAAGAGTGAGGATGAACAAATATTTATATGAAACCCAAAACACTGATGGGGTTTGATTACAAAGCAATGAGTTCAGCTTTCACAATCAGCTTAGCATCCCAACTTCAAAGTATTTAGACGAACTCTATCATTCTTAAAAAACATTATTCTTCCAAAATAAACCTTTCTTGACCTTTGCCTGGCACTTTCATTGGAAAAAACAAAAAGATTACTCAAATTCCACTCCTATGCTTAAAAAAGGAAGAAAAGAAAAATAAGAGGAAAATCTAAATCTCATCCTAATATAGGTGGCAAAGTAATTTTTTCCACTGTGAGTAAACATTCTTAATTATATTGAAGCATTTCAAATTGAATGTTGTTACTAAACTTTGAAATGTGCATGAATCATGCTACGACCTGGCAGATAACTTTTAGACAAATGATCGTTACTCTGGAATGAAGAAATATCTCCTTTTGTTGACTTTTTCAAGCAGCTACAAGCTACTAATCAAAGTTTTAAATTCATGAAAATTCCGTCTTTGCCAAGTCTTGTAGAATACTTAACCACATTAATTCTTTCAACTTTCTCATGTACAGATTGGCCTCAACATTTGGAACCATCTGTGCTGCCAGGAGAGGCCTGGCTACTTCACATTCATTCTTGCCCCAAAGCTAAAGAATGAGAGGTGCTCCTGCCAGAGTCTGCGAGAGGGAGGCAGAACACTGTGGAAAGTCCATGGCCTCTGGAGTCAGGCTTGGGTTCAAATGCAGACTCTACTACCCACCGACAGTATGAGGCTGGGCAAGTTACTCAGTCTCTCTGAACCTCTACTTCCACCTTGGTAAAACAGGGACAATTCAAACATTCTAGAGTGTTACAGGGACTACATTATATTACATAAAGTGACCAGCACATAATAGGGACTCAATTAATGCTAGTTTCTCTTCCCAGTTTTTTCACAGCCACAAGATACTTATTGAACACTCTTATGAGTCAGAGCAATAGCTCTGTGTCCTACTTTGGAGCCATTTTTAGGCCTGCTGGCAGCCAGGTCACAGTTCATTAAAACACTGACACATGTCTACGCCAGTTTTTTAGAAGAAAGAGTTCTTGATGAAAACACAATACAGCTTTATAAGAAGTGAGTCCTCTCTTGCCTTTGATTCAAGAACAATTTTTTACAGTCTAACTACTTTCAAAATCCTTTTCCTTATTCCAGCTCCCACTGATGTGTGGGAATTGTCACTGTCACTAGAGTAAATAACCAACACATTTATTCTGAAGAAACCACTCGCCAGAAGAATCATTAGAAGGAATTTTGGTACAGAAATCTTTGGCAGAATTCTAGATTTCCATTTAGTCTGCAAAATTGTGTGAATTCTAACAAAATGGTATCAATTTTTCTCCTATGAATATGGACTTGTTTTAGAGAAAAATTCCTGTCTGGATTTATTTTGCTACTCTCTTCTGGATTTTTTTTAGCTAACCATTTGCAGAACATGAGTAAACTCTTAGATTAGTTGCTATTTATATGGTTAAGTCACCACACAGTGCTAAATAGCTCCTGAGAAAAAAAAACCAGCTTGTGATTTAAGCCAGGGTGAAAATTGTGCACCAAAACAGAGAGCTCTAGAGATCTTAGCCTAGCATTTTGTTTGGGTTTGAAGAATTCTACTATTTCAGCATTTTTTCTTTCTCAAATACAGTTTGCTACTGTTCCTATTTAGAAGTTTAGTAGAAATGTAAAAATTCCCTTCCTCTATCCTTCTGACACAGAAGAGAAGGACACTAGTGGGCATGCACTATTTTTATGGTGACAACCAGAGCTATTTTGAGCCATTTTAAGACTATCCAATATTTATGCCAAGAAAAAAGGTTAGCATGACACTAACAAGCTAAAAAGCAAATTCTGGTTGTGGTCACTTAATAAGCACATTATTTTTAACAACTCCATAGTCTATCTTTTGGTCATAAATAACAATACAACAGAAAAACATAAGCCATTAAACCGTACTTAGAAAGTCTTACCTTTTGCGCATCTCCCGTAAAATACGCAATGGCCAGGGTGGGCAGAATCATGAACAGTGCATTGTAATAGAGCAGACCATATTTTCCCAGCTCCTAGGAGAGTAAATAACTAGGTGTTTCATCTGGCACTAGCAGACAGATATACACAACTCTATACAGAGCACCACCCCCATTACACACACACACACACACACCTCCCCCACAATATATACTGCAAATTAGTTAAATCAGAAGCTTTGCAAACATTAATAACCTAAGCTTTCAAAACAAATAAAAAAGCAAACGTACAAGATTTTAAATTTATTTGAAATAAATTCCTTGAGTGCTTAAGATCAGAGAAATAAAAATGACATCAACTTGCTGCCTCAAAACAGCAAGTAGGGAAGATGTTATTTTTGAACACATACACACATCTCTATAGAAATACATCCCTGTAGCCCTTCCCCTTCCCGAATGGAATCAGAAGTCATCAAGTTAGTCTTGGGCTTCTCAGAACCACAAAAGAGTGCCATTTAGGAGAGATGGAAGGACAGATCCAGACACACAGACTCATACCTAGACCAACACAGACAGATACAACTTCCCAGTGAAATATTTCTGACAATGTACAAGCGAAGTCCAATGAATGTGAAGATGAGTGCATCCACAACTCCCAAAACGTAGCGGGACTAGTTGTGCCCTCAGCTACTGGGGAGCAACAAAGACCACACACATCTTGAAACACAGGGACCCTATGAGAACTCTGGGTCCACCTTTGATTCACACACTTCTGGGACATTCAGCAGGAAGCAGAGTCACCTGAAAAAGTAGGCCAGAGTTTGCGAGGAGGAAGGTGAAGGAGTAGTGAGGATAGGAGATATCTGACTAACTTTTGCGACTGAAAGATCACTGAATGATGTGAAAAGTCAAACTGCCTTCTCAAAGGCAGCTCTGAAAAACTGGAAACAAATATCCAACAATAGAAAACTAGTTGATTAGACTATGATACAACTACACCATGAAATAGAATGCAACCACTAAAAATGTCTAGTAATACCGATTTACAAGGAAAGGTGTTCAGGAAATGGTACTAAACAAAAAATAGTTAGAAAACATTATACATCATCGCTCTTTTGTTTCAAGTTTTACACACTGTTAAATGTGTACATGTGCACGCACACACAGAAGGATATCCACCAAAACAGTGCTTCTCACCTGATGGCGGAATTAAAGATTTATATTTTCTTCCTCTTGCTTACCAATGTTTTCCACTACTTCTATTATAAATATGTGTTATTTGTGTAATTTCTTTAAAGTTAAAAATGTTTTAAATTCAATAGCTGCATTCAGGTCTGAAACGCAGCACTAAGTCTTTATGCCACCACGACTCATGCTCAAAGGACCATGACTATAAGCAGTCCCGAAATTATAGGTAATGGAACTGATTTATTAAAAGCATCTCAGTGTAGCCATACTGTCTCTTGGATAAACCAAATAACCAATGGCTTCTACCCACCACGACCATCAGAGCAAGTGGGCCTCATTTCTAGGACAGCAAGAAAAAAGCCTCAGTCGGACAAAACAACCTTTACCAACAGGTGCCCAGGGAGCCAGAGACATGAGTGTTATTCAGGAAGTCAAGGATGTCCACACACACATACACACACACACACACACACACCACCCCGACAACTGATAAATGACAAAAACCTACATGCCAAACTGTTCTGTTTTTCTTTTCACATTTTAACTGTTTGAGTATCTTTTTCTCTGCCTTCTTAGAGTACACCGATGAAAATTTAGTTTAGGGCATCAACATAAACCTGTGTCACTGTATTGTATTCTTATACGATGCTGCTCTTAATCCCGTTGAACAGCCCCTGCACCATTTCTGAGTACTCCCGTCTGACCTTCAGTGCTCTTGTTTGTTTCTCTTGTTGTCAGCTGACCTTTCACACTGCTGCAAAGCCTCTCTGCCTCCAGAGAGAAGTCCACCTTCTAGTTTGCTGCTCCTAATCCATAAGCTATGAAAGCAGATCAATACGCTCAAAAGTCCTAATACAAGTAAGTCATGAGTCACTGCTGAGTGAGAAACTAAAGGGCTTTCCCAAGAATAAAATACTCAGAAACCGTCTTTGCTTTTTCCAGGTTCCAGATGTCCTCTAGACGTGCTGTCCACTAGGGCAGCCACTAGCCACATGCCCTTATTTCAACTTGATTCTAATCACATTAAACTGCTCATTCAGTTCCTCAGTTGTGCCAGTCACTTATCAAGTGCTCAGCAGCCACATGTGGCTAGTGGCCTCTGTCACTGGACAGCAGAGACAGAAGAGTCCCATCATCACAGAAAGTTCTATTCGACAGTATTGTTTAGACAGTTGAGGCTGCTGGACAAATGAAATGTTATTATTCGTACCTATTTTCCAAAGCAGCAAATGGGCTGAAGGGAAAAAACAGAGTAAAACTAAATCTCCAACTGCTCCCTTTTCTCTATTTCAAAAAGATAAAATTTTTTAATAGTAGCTTCTATTAAAATGCAATCATCATACAGAGTCATCAGGGCAAACAAATGGAGAACAACACATAAAAGGTATATTTAAAGAAAACTTGTTGGAAACAGATCTACACTGTCCCTAGATCTTCAAGGATACTCAAAATAAACATTCTCTGAGAATAAAGAAAGCTAGTGGGACAGCCATGCATTCTATGGTTCTTTCAGGAGACAGCAAAGCCCCCCACCAGGGCCATACAAACTCAACACCAATACTACTACTGAGTAGGTAGCGGATTTGTATTTATGACCTGAATTCCAAAGAAGGCCTTGAGAGGGGCTGGCCTGGCAGCACAGTGGTTGAGTCTGCATGCTCTGCTTCAGTGGCCTGGGGTTCGTTGGTTCAGATCCCAAGCACGGACCTACACACCGCTCATCAAGCCATGTTGTGGCAGCATCCCAGATACAAAATGGAGGAAGACTGGCAGAGACGTTAGCTCAGGGCCAGTCTTCCTCAAGCAAAAAGAGGAGGACTGGCAACAGATGTTAGCTCAGGGCCAATCTTCCTCACCGAAAAAAAAAAAAAAAGGACCTGACACAGTTTCAGAAATACTGTACATATAATAGAGCAGACTAAAAACTAAGCACATAAGGGCATCTGACTGAAGAGAAAACATCAGTAGGAAAATCAGATAAAGCCATAAAGCCATGGTCAGTTACAAGATTTAACTACGAGATAAAATACACCAGCTGCTCAGGAAAAACTATGGTGACACCTATGACAAATATCTCATGTGGGTCCTTACATAGGACATGTGGGTCCTTATACAGGACACACTATGAGGGAAAGGAAAACTCCTTCCACAACAACCCTATGATATACAGAGCTGAGTTCCATAAAGCTTCTTCTGACAATGGTGTAATTTTATATCACAATGTAGCAAAAGCAATGTGGTTCCAAGACTCAGCTTTCTGGGTGCCCAGCTGGATTTAAAAATAAAATTTAGTGTGTCTATATTCAAAGTATATAGCAGACAAACAAACAATATCTTGAAAGCCTTTGTGTGCACGCTACAAGCTGAGGGAAGAGCTGGGCATACAGAGTTCATGTGTTTGGGGTGGAGGCCAGGGAAATGGTGCTGCCCCTGAGAGAGAGCCTAATGCTCCCTGAAGTTCCCCACTGTCTGTAGGACAAACATGCAAAGTCCATTCTTGTTCTGAGCCCCTTCCAACACTCACTTCTCCTCAAATCAGCTCAAGGGCTTCCAGACGGTTCTCTCTTGTCCAGGTCCTCTAGAACCCAGCCATGAACATTTGTAACACTTTTCTCTCAAGAGCACCCCTTACTAACACCTCTGTCCCACTCAAAGTCAATATTCACCCAATCCCTTCCAGTAAAGCCATAATTAAATCTAATTGCTAATTCATTAATTGAAAAATAAAGTTTCTTACGTGAGCACCAAAGTACACGCATTTTACCCTCAGAGATCCCGTCTTTCCCATCCCTTTTAAGTATTTTTCTTTATTCCCCGTTTTTTCCCTGATGAATTGACATTACCATTCCCAACATCAGTAAACATCTCTTAGAGAAGCTTTAGATTGCTACCTACTTTTGAATCTAATTTTTGTTTTACATATGCGCCATTTGCTGCCGTCAGGACATCGTTTATCAGAATAAAAACATATCCTTCCAGATCAAATGCCAAGTCAGAGCTGCAAAACATAAGCAACACTTTAATAATGAGTTACATTTAAAGGACATGAATTTAGTTTTAAATAGGTCTGAACTACAATATTTGCAAGAACATATTCTTATCTAGGAAAGGAAACATTAGGCATTTTATCAGCTACTAGTATTTCTTGATTCCTGGTTACAGTTTGCAATTTCATACTCAATAAGGGAGTTTTCAGAAATGAGAAGCACTAATATTTAAATTAAAAAATTAGCAACAATCAATCATGTCAGTTAACGGCACACTGCTCTGAATTCAAAGTCAGACAACAACAAGCAACCAAATTCACCATTACAATCCATCTGCAGCAGGCAGAAGGCATCAGAGCTCAATTTCATAGGTAAGGAAACCGAAAGATGAAGTTGTTAACACATCATGTTCCAAAGGCTCACACAAATGGTAGGACTATCTTGTGCAGGTGGTTGGGCCACTGGGTAGAATTTCTGAAGTGTGGACTGTGGTTAGTTCTAACTGAGATCAAGTCACAACAGTGTCTAAGCACACTGCAGGAACTCAAATACTTAAATAATTGCTTAACGAGTATATGAGGTATAACTAGCAGGATTAGGGACACTGAAGTTTTCTAGTAGTTAGTGGAGCACCAGGCACAAGATAAGAACTTAGTAAGTTGAACAGAATAAATGAAAATCTAAGAAAAGTATGCCTTCAGCATACTTTACCACCCTAGCTAAAATAGTGGCCCCACATTGTGTGATTCTGCAAAGACACTATATATTTGTAGCTAAACTACCACATGGAATGAGACTTCTGAGGAGCTCTATGCCACTGCCATTTCAGGCAGAACAAGCCAAAGCACACCTCCTCTTCCCAGCATCCTGAGAGCCCTCCAACTTCAGACTCCTCTCCTCTCACTCTGTTCGTAAGTAAAAGGTTCTAACTAGACAAGGCTGGTCCAGATAGCAATCCTCCTCAGAAACGTTTTGCAGGCCAGATTAGCCCTGAGGAACTCCTGTTGTTTGGTTCCATTTTGGATCCCATCAGCTTTAAGGAAATGCTTCAAAGACTAGCAGGGCACCTCTAAAAAGAAAGGTAGGGGCCTCGTATAGAATTTTTCTCCAAGGAGGCAATACTACCCAGAGGGAGAAGCAGTCAGCTATGCGACAAAACTCTAGTAACCAATTATTCTAGCCTCTTTTTTTTTTTTTTTTTAAGAATGAAATTTCACTTGGAGATTAGGGTGGAACAGAATTTGACTTATAATGTTTTCCCCCCACCGACACCACAGGGGTACGATGAAGGTAAATGAGCAAATCCAAGCAGCACATTGGAGCTCCCAGGTGGAAAACATATGTCAGGCAGAATTTGTTGCATCAGCAAACCCATATATGCAGGCCCTGGGCAGAATAAAATGTTGTAGAAGGCTTCTAGCCATCATTTACATTTTCTGAGTCTTTGGGTATACATTTTCTCCATTTGTTTTAAAACTAAACTTAAGAACAAGAAAAGTTTTAATAATTTAATACAATATCTAAGTTATGGCATTTGTGGTATATCTTAAGTGAGACCAAATAAAGCAATTTTATTATTTATTATTCCACAAGGCAAATAATTCATTACCATTTGCCTCTTCAGAGACACTGTTTTCTTGAGCAGCATGCAAAGTCAAAGGATGCCTCGTGTTCTACAAAAGCACTCAGGCTCTGGGGTCAGGCACAGACTCAAATTCCACTCCACCGTGTGCTGTGTGACTCAGAGCAAGTTTCTGAACTTAGGTTTTAGCTTCCTCAACTATAAAACAGGAAAATTACACCCACACCTTTCAGCATTGTTGTGAAGAACACATAAATAATAAGTGTAAAATACTGAACGTATTGTGTGGCACATGGTATGTGCTCAGTAAGTAGAAGATGGTATAATAAACCCTAAATCACATGAATTTAACTTTTAAGAACCCCAAGAATCTCAGTTTTCCAGGCTTAATCTTAATACAGCCAAAAAGATTTAACTATTTTTTGTTTGGTGAGGAAGACCAGCCCTGAGCTAACATCCGACGCCAACCCTCCTCTTTTTGCTGAGGACGCCTGGCCCTGGGCTAACATCCGTGCCCACCTTCCTCTACGTTATATGGGACGCCGTCACAGCATGGCTCAACAAGTGATACATCGGTGTGTGCCCAGGGTTGGAACCTGTGAACTCCGGGCCACCACAGTGGAACGTGTGCACTTAACCACTGTGCCACCAGGCCGGCCCCAAAAAGATTTAACTTTTTGAAGAGTCTCTGGATGTTTTACAAAGACATGATTCTTATTTAGCCTATAAAAGATTCTCTTTATTGGGAATTGATCATTTATTATCAATAATTACTGATCATTTCAAATGTGCTCTCAAAGGTTTTATATAGGCCCACATCTTACCTGGCGGCTACAAAGGCTCCAATAATCATTGCAAATACAGTCATCTTAATACCCCAAGAAAAAGTCTTCCTACAAAATAAAATAATTAAAAAACATATAAACGTGGCTTTAGTTATTCACAAAACCTCATTTTACAATATAGGTAAAAAGAAATATATTTTCTTTAAAAAAAGCTATAAACAATCATGTTTCTAAGGAACGGTTAATGTTTCCAAGGAACTGGAAAAGTGTTTCCAAGGAAGTGGATGTTTAAAAGAACCCCTTTGATGAAGCAAATACTTCTTTTGTTATATAAATAAGCATACTCATTTTTTCCTTATTCTTATCATTTCTTACTACTGAGTTTGAATTTTCCAAATCAAAATTTCTTTTTTTTTCCCTTTTTCCCCCCAAAGCCCCAGTAGATAGTTGTATGTCATAGCTGCACATCCTTCTAGTTGCTGTATGTGGGACACGGCCTCAGCATGGCCCGAAAAGTGGTGCGTCGGTGCACACCCGGATCCAAACCCGGGCCGCCAGTAGCGGAGCGCGTGCACTTAACCGCTAAGCCACAGGGCCGGCCCCCGAAATTTCTTTAATTAGAAAAAGGTCACACACATTTGTAGTAAAGTAGCCATCATGAACACTACTGGAAACCTAAATGGATGATTCTGACCCGGCTTCACCCAGGGGCAGCAGTAGGTATAGGAATCCCTGGAAGCGTATCTCCTGTTCAGACAGGTTTCCAACTCTACTTCATAAACTTCCCAACTACTGCTCCCATAGACATATCAATTCCTACAGCTAAGGGAGAAAGTTGCTTAAACTTCTCAAAAGATAAAGTAGAAACAAGACAAATAATTTTAATCTCTCACATATGCTGGGCACCTTTTCAAGGTGATGAAAGTTTGTTAAAGACTAGATATATCAGAAACTTAGCTCACTTGAGTAAAACTCCTTCAGCAAACATTGTAAACAGGATGGAGAACCTTCTCAGAACTGTAAACATTGGCAAGCTGCAAAAAAAAACCAAAAAGGTAATGAGGTAAAATAAAGTTTAACATTTTATTTTTTCAAACTAAGATTCTCCAAATCAGTATTTTAAAATAATGCTAATCTCTTCCTCCTATTATGGAAATTCCATGCTGATTAAACCCTGATTAAATTCAACCCTTATTTCTCTCTACAAATAATTCTTATTTGAAAGCCTGAAAGGGTTGCTTTCATAAAGCAAGTGAGAAACACCAAACTGACTATAAAATGGTAGAAATCACACAGCTATTATCAAAGACCAATAATGGCCACTTTTTTATTCTACCCTGCTTATTACATAAATACCCTGAACAGTAACCATACTAGTCTTTAAGAGAAAGACTTTTTTCTCCTTTTTTTACTAGATGGACCCCCCTTCCCGTCCCTCAACCCTCCAAACAACTTCTCTGATAATCTCCCCACGAAACATTCTTCGGTTGTCCTTTTGTGGAAGTAATGTTGTCTTCCTCTAAATTCCCAGAGCATTTTGCTTGCACTAATCAAACATACAGCCTCTTGCAATATAGTTATTTCTGAATGTATCTCATCTCACTCCAAAGTGCCTTATACTTAGCTGGCAATGAAAGACAGGATGTGAACAGATGGATGATGGATGGATGACAATGTATGAAAAAGAGCAAACTCTATACAAGCAGCACTTTGTAGCAGGTCTGCACTTCTTTCCAAGTGGGTAATGAGATGGAAAATGATGCCGCACCCATGACCAATTTGACTTCCATGAAACCCTCCCCAGAGATATCATCCTGGTCATTCTGTCATGTTTCTTGGGTCTGAAGAAAAAGGAAATGAAAATGGCTTTGTCTCTGATCCTCAGAGATCTGCTCATTCTGTTTTACAATCATCCAGTATGCCAGGGGCTTAGCTCATATGGAAGTGCTGAAGCCATGGGCCTCTGTTAAATGGTTTCCCTATGTGTATAACTTTAATATCACGTACACCCAATAGATACTCCACTCCTTAAGTGGAGAAGCCAAGAACTGGGAGGTTAGAGGAAAGCAAGACAGTGCTGTCACAGGGTAGAGAGCTCCTGCTTCTTTCTAGAAGTAAATATGCTGCCTCTACAGTTACAGCCATGGGTAAAGTATTACACTTGTATCAGGGTTCCATCTGATGTTACTTTAACTACCTCGTGTTAAAAGAAAAACTGTGAAAATTCTCACATCCATCCTCTTACTTTGCTTGTGGAATTTGCCTAAAATATAACATTTATGAATTGTGTTAAAGAACTGAAATCCCAGAAGCCTAGCATATATCCTTCACTACTATAGGACTGGAAAAACAATGAAAATCTCCTATCACAGCATTTTATAACATTTTAAGACTTCTATCATCGAAGTGAGGGAAAAAAACCCCCAAACAAACAAAAACTTCTCTTCAAACTTAAAGAACTTAAAAGCCTTTAGTGTGATCTTCATTATTTAGTAACAGAAACTTTCTGGTCCTTTCATTTTTTTCCAGAATCAATAACAACGTGCTAAATATTTGACATTCAAGTACAATTCTAAGAATACATTTTATTAACCTCACTAGTAAAATAAAGTTATCCATACTTCAGTTTCTTTGTGCTGAACAGTCCCGTGATTTGGTTCCCAAAATATAGGAGAGGTAGTGGAAACGTCTAGAAAATTTAAAAAGGGATAACAAAACTCAATAATAAAGACAGCTAAAACAAAGTCCTTTCAAACAGCAACATTTGATTATATGATCAAATTCTTTCCACTTAAAACACGAGATTAGTTCTCATACACAATTCTGGCCCCATGAATCACCCACACATTATTCCTGGATAAACAGCACTACTACAGCAGAGAGAGAGAGGAAAGAATGGAGGGGAAGAAAGAAACAGAAATATGAATATGATCAAACCACGTGGTACAGAAGCATCATTTGCTTTAAAATATGATAACAACGTGGTAGCCCATTAGCAGAAAAAGGAACAGCATTTCATCTTCAGGTGGAGACAAGTAGAGGCAGACAGAAGAATAAGAAAATAAACCCCAAGAACAGTGAATGCAGGACGCAATGGCTAGATCAGACGGATGCAGAAGATGCAAAAAGGTTGTACTCCCAACAAGTGTTCATTCATTACAGCGGAACGCAAGACTTCTAGGGGCTTTTTTTCTTTCTTAATTTTAAAGAGACTGTGAGACTTTTGAACAACACATCTTAGTACATTTATTCTTTACCTTCATTATACCCACTCTGGATTGGGCAATTTCAAGGTTGCAATTTTTCAATATGCAAGGCACTGATCAAAATACATATAATGACTTCTTTTCAGAAAATAAAGTATTCCTCTAAATTTTTTTTTTTTTTTTTTTACCTTCCGAGGTACATTTCTGTCAAGGTCCGGAAACTTGACTACTCTGAGCGCCTTGCCCACCCAGAGGACCGCCACTGTGGCCACCATCTGTAAACAGGGAACACAGATGCACTGTTCTGCCTATAAAGACACACACACACGTTCCAACGACACAGACCGCGTAACGCTGAAGATTCCAACTGACCTGGCCAAGTCCAACGCACAGAGAGGAGGGAAATCTACGAAAACGGTAGAGAGAAAAAGAGGGTCAGAAATCCCGAACGTAACTGTGACCTCCGTGCACGTCCACAACCTTAAAACGCATTGTGATACGAGACACACGCACATCTCCTCCGGACGAGAAGCGGGGAGAGACCCCCGCCGGCGTCCGGCAAGCGCGCCCGTTCTGCAGCCTCGGGCGGCCGCTCGCCTCGCCCTGTGCGACCCCACAACTGCAGCCCACCGCCTGCAGCGGATCCTCCCAGTGAAGACAGCTCTCACTAACGGTTCCACGCTTGAAAACAAACGCGCCGCCGCCTCGGCTCCCAGTGACAGCGTCCCCACCACCGCCGGGCTCGCGGACGCGCCGGCGCGGGGCTGTCAGCGCCGCGGGGCCCC